GCGAAGGAATGATGGGAGGGTCCTGCAAAATAGGAGGTGCAGAAGGATACACGACAGGCTCGTGTACCTGATCAGAAATAGCATGCACAGGCGTGACAGCAATCATAGCACAGTGATCAAACTCAGTCACAGAAAAAGTAGCCTGTTCATTCCCAGCACGCAAAATCAGCTTACCATCATGCACATCAATCAGTGCCTTGGCGGTGGCAAGAAATGGTCTACCTAAAATCAAAGGCACATCCACATCATCATTTACATCCAGAATAACAAAATCAACAGGATATGTGAATGCACCCACATTAACAAGCAGATCTTCTATGATACCCCTAGGATGCACCACGGAACGATCAGCTAGCTGAATGCTCATCCTAGTAGAGCTAAGTTCACCTAGGTCTAGCTTTTTGAACAATTTATATGGCATGACATTAATGCTAGCTCCTAGGTCCGCCAAGGACTTCCCTACATGCATGCTGCCAATAGTAAGAGGGATAGTAAAACTCCCTGGATCCTTGCGCTTTTCAGGCAGCTTGTTCTGCAGGATAGCAGAACACTCCTTGCTCAGCAACACTGTCGAGAGATCCCCAAGTTTCTTCTTGTTGGTGCAGAGATCTTTCATGAACTTTGCGTACTTGGGCATCTTCGACAGTGCCTCCACAAATGGTACGCTGATGTTGAGCTGCTTCAACATTGCCATGAACTTGGCAAACTCAGTCTCCAGCTTGTCTTTGTGTAGGCGAGTGGGGAAGGGAAGCTGGGGTACGTGCTCCTTCACCACTGGTTGTGGCTTGGGGGCAGGGGCTTCCTTCTCCATCCGCACTTCTGCATCGCCGGCTGGAAGTGCTGAAGCAGGTAGTGGTTCCTCCTGCCTGGTCGGGCAGGATCAGCTGATGTAGGCCTGCCGCTCCTGGTAAAAACGGCACCCAGCTGCTCGTGCGGGTCCCGTGGATTAGGGATGGTGGTGGCAGGAAGAGTCCCCGGGGCCCGAGTAGTAATCTGGCGAGCTATGGCGCCAACCTGGTTCTGTAAATCTTGCAGAATGGCACCTTGGTTTCTCTGGCCTGCCTCCAGTGAAGCTATGGTCTGATCCATCCTCGTGATACTTGCCTGGCTGGTGGTCATGAATGCTGCCAATATGTTCTTCAGCTCGGTCATCTGATTATCGGGAGCTGGCGCTGCTGCTAGCTCGGCATACTGACGCTGAGGCTGCTGGAATGGCTGCCCCTGTCTAGCCTGGAAAGGCTGCCTCTGCTGAAAACCACCTGCTGGTGCTGGGAAACCAGGTGGTTTATTGGTGTTGTTGCTCCAGGCGAAGTTGGGGTGCTGGCTCCACCCCTCATTGTATGTGTTACTGTATGGATCGAGGCGCCGAGCATTGGCGATGAAGGCCAACTGTTCTTGGGAAGTAGAGGACTCCCGCATAGCCTGGCAGTCCTCCACCAGATGGTTTGGACTCTCACACCACTGACACTGTGCCACTGGAGGCGCAGCTACACCTCGGCCCGGAAGGAGACTGTTAGGCTGCTTTAGTGTCTGCACCAACTCAGCCACCTGCTGCTCCAACCCGGATCTGGTCTCCATAGCATGCACACCACGGTCCCGGGAATGCCTGCCTCTGCCGCTCTGCCCCCAGGAATGATCGCGGGCAGCCAAGGTACTAATCATCTGGTTCAGCTCGGGTGGAGTCTTAGTGAGAATATCCCCTCCTGGGCATAGAGACTCGATCACCCTCTGGCTGTCTGGGGTGAGGGCACTGTAGAAGTTCCCTACTGTGAAAGCATCGCTGAAGCCATGATGGGGACACTGCCAGAAGTATCCCATGTACCGCTCCCATGCATCACGAAGGGACTCATCTGGCTCCTGGCGGAAGTGAGTGATCTCCCACTGAATCTCAGTAGTCTTCGATGCCGGATAATATCTGTGCACGAACTTGTCTGCCAGATCGTCCCAAGAAGTGATGGACAGTGGGGGCTGGGTCTCCAACCACCTCTTAGCATTCCCCGCCAGAGAATGGGGGAAGAGGTGAAGGCGGATTGCGTCATCCGGAACACCATTCAGCTTGAACCCGTTTGTCAGCTGCAAAAAACGGGAAAGGTGTGCCCGGGCTTCCTCATTCTTCAAGCCATGGAACTGGATAGAAGATGTAATGAGATGAATCCAGCATGGCTTGATCTCGAAGTTGTTTGCTGGGATAGGCGGGTAGAGGATGACCGGGCGGATGTCAGCAATCTGCGGAGTATAGTAGTACTCCAGGGTGGGTCCCGGTGGTGGTGGATGATGAACTCCATGATCCTGGGGTATGGGGTTGTTCCCCAGGACCTGATTCACCGGGGGGGCCTGCTGAGGATTCCCCTGGTGTGGATTGTAGTCTTCCATCTCGTACTCCTCCTCAGAATCACTGCTCACGTGGCCGTCTATGCGCTTTTCCGTAGCCAGTCTAGCTCGCTGTTGTCTCCTGAGTTGGCGACAGGTGCGGTCAATCTCTGGATTCAACGACAGTAAACCTCCTAACTGGCTACGGGTCATGCACTACCTGCACACACTCAAGCAAGCAAACCCGTGAAGGCACAAGTGGGACAAAGCAAACAAAGCAAAAAGAAAAGCTAAATTAACAGAAATCACTTTTCTTCAACAACCTAGCCGTCTCCGGCAACGGCGCCAAAAACTTGACTCGCTCCTACTGTCACTCTAGAAAATGGCCAAGTGTAACCACTTCCTAAAGCGTAGTATAGCGGGTTTAGGTTTAATTATCAACCCGGGTCCTAGATCTGATGACTACTCAGTGAGTTCTTGTTATCTAGCAATGAAACTGGAATGCAAGTCTAAACTACCAAAAACACAAAGCAAGTGAACGGTTGTATTCAAGTTAAGAGAGGTCACCCGGATATGGTTCCCCCTAGTCTGCAGTTAAGCCGGATTGTAATTACCAAGTTCAATTTCTATGATAGTTATACTGCGGAAGGTTCTCAAACAGCCTGAAGTCTCGACTAAAGGTCTTCAGACCCTCCCAATCTGAATCTCTAGCGGGCGACTAACCTCCACCGGAGTAAATAGATTGAGGCCCTAAGAACAAAACCTCCACTACCGAATGGAATTCGGTACAGAATAGTGATTGGCTCCTCGACTAAAGTCACCAATTCACTACCTTCGATCAAGGATACTCTATCAACCTAGGCAGATATTATCATTCTAGGTTAAAGCAGAAACAACAGGAATTTGATCAAGATTCATGCCATTCAATCATTCAAACCTCAATCGAATATAATCAAAATCATAGTATCAATACTTGGGTTCATACAATCAAACCTAACATACAGAACTAGGGTTTCCCATACCCAGATGAATGGGAGAACTACTCCATGGAGAGAGAAGCAAAAGCAGAATCAGACGCGGAAATCATACTGTGAAGATGAATTTCTGCTCCTGGACGTTTAATCGCACTTCTCCAAGCTCAAGCCGGACTCCAATGGTGTTGAAGATCAAGCTAGGGCACTTAGAGGCTCTTGTTCGTCGCTTTCTCTCTCTAGGAACCGCTCTGTCTCTCAAAAACTCCAATCCCCTTCTGTTTGGCTCGGAATCCGCTTAAAAACCAGACTTTCCCGACTCGCACGGCCAGGGTGCACGACCGTGCATATCACCATTCTGGCCGTGCACTCCAAAACGCGGCGTGTCAATTAGTTCGACCTCAGGCTTCTCGCACGGCCAGGATTGCACTTCGCACGGCCGTGCGGTTTTCACTTGTGCCCGTGCAAGCTCTCGCACAATCCCGCACGGCCAGACTGGTTACTTGCACGGCCGTGCGGGTTTTCTGCTCTGCCCGTGCGTCTTCTCGCATAATGTCGCACGGCCACAATTGTATGTTGCACGGCCGTGCGACTCCCTGGTCTGGCCGTGCAGCCTCCTTGGAATCTCGCCATGCGTCCGATCCTCGTCCAATCGACATCAAACTCGCTCCCAAGCCTCCATTCACGTACTAGGACCTGAAATATCATAAACAAGCACAACCTAGCGTGAAATCGGCCTAAAACACGAGAATCAATACCTCAAACAGAGTAAGAGCAGGGGTAAAAACATGTGTAACCAACGGTCTATCAGTTGTCTTGTTGATCAACCGGTGTGTGAGCTTCAATTTTAAGAGATCGTCGATTAACCGCCAAGAGTTTTCTTATGGAAAGAGCCTCAACTTCGATCTCTTCATCAACCTCCTACTCAGACGATTCATCCTTTCTTTTGGTACTCGTCGTCACTTACATACTCTCCATCGCACAAAGTCAGGGTCTTTAAGTTAGGGCATTGAGTTATTTTGTGCCCTCTGCCATGGCACTTAAAGAATTGGATCCCCCCTCTATATCCTCCAATCCTCTCGTGAACCGCAGGTGTCATAGTTTTGGTCGCGGTTCTGGTGATTTCGGGCATAAGTTGGGAGTTACTAGCCTCAACATTGTGCTATGTGTGCAGCTTGGGGTTCGAAAATCTTCACCCTTAAAGCATCTTCTGCTGCCTCTCAATCTTAATTGAGAGATGAGCGACTTCCTCTATTTCGACGAATGGTCTGAGTTCTACTTCATGCCGAATGTCACGATTCAATCCATGGAGGAATCTCGTAATTGTTGCCTCTTTATCTTCTCTAACATCGGCCCTCGTCATAAGCAATTCCAATTCACGAAAGTACTCCTCCATGCTTCTTGATCGTTTTTGAATTTGTTGAAGAGACTCGTGCAACTCCCGCTAATAGTACCCGAAATAAATATATTCCCAATGCTGTCAAAGCCGCGCCGAGTCGGCCGATCGAGCAGCCAAAACCGCCACCCGGCCATAAAACCGGCTCGACTCAGTTATTTAGCCGGAGTGGTTATTTGGGGCGGTCGGCGAGCGGCCGAAGCGGTTAACCGCTCGAGCCGCTCGGCCGGCTTTTACCATTTGGGCCGGTTGCTTTAATTAAAAAAAATATATATATAAAAAATCAAAGATGAAAATGAAAGGGGAGGCTGCTGAAAACGTAACCCTAATTGACTAATTCATTTCCTCCCCCTTCGCGCAGCAGCCAGACACGAAGAAGAGCCTCGCACTCCGCAGTCGCCGTTCACCGTCGCGGGTCCCCGTCGCCGTTCGCCATCGCTCGACGCCATCGGCCGTCGCCATCCCTTGACGCCACTCCCCTGTCACCTGTCGCCATCGTCGTCGGCGGCGGCGGCAGCTCGTTTCCCATTCCTGTCGGTGAGGTCTCCGTTCTCCCCTGCAGTCACCTTCTCCCACTGCTGCTGCCTCTCCCCTGCATCGACTCTCTCCCTCTCCCCTGCATCGACTCTCTGCCTCTCCCCTGTTGCATCAAGCCATCGACTCTCTGCCTCTCCCTTGCTGCCCTCCCCTTCAATTTCTCGACGCATACACCCACCCAGGAGAAATTCTTGTGGTAAATTACTAAATTAATAAATTTACATGTGATTTGACCTTACTTTGATAATTTTAGATAAGCATAAAAGAAGTTTGTAATGGTTTGTTTGTGTTGCTGCCGTGACCCTTGAGGTTTCATATTCCATTCAGCAATTTTTGTTTACTTGATTGAGTTATTTAGAAGTTTCAGAATGGTTTAAGAGAGTAATTTACTTGTGGTTTACCATGATTAAGAAGTGTCTACTATTTATACAGATGACTGTTTATTAGGTACGGGTTCTCAAACGGTTTTTAAACGGTCTAATGCCGGCTGGACCACTAATGACCGAACCGTTCACGTTACCGGGTCATACTCCGGCTGGGCTTTGACAGCATTGTATATTCCTCATGAGGCCCGTTAAATCGGCCCAGGTCTCAATCTTCAATCAGAGATCAATTGGCGATTCGGGAGAAGAAACTCGGGCATGACCTGAAGAAGAATGGATTTCTATCTCACTTTATGGACAAAGAATCATGCAAGCTTGTCATTAAAAGAAAGAGGACGAGACTATGAGCGTCTGGGATCAAACGACGACTCATTCGGAGTCCGGACGATGGAGAAACGAAGCATTGAATATAGGGGAACAAGTTCGGCAGTAAAAACACGGGCGCGCCTAAATCAAAACACGGTCGTGCCCATATTTAGGCACGACTGTGTTTTGGCCGACGCGCGCGGGCGTGTTTTTAACATGGGGCAAAACACGGGCAGAAAAAACCAAAGCACGGCTGTGCCCTCGACCGTGTTTTGCCCAGAATCGGGTTTTTTAGGCAGATTGAAGCCAAAGGAAAGGAGAGCTGGGTTTTGGATCCCAAACACCCAAGGGACGAACCAAAGAGAGAGAGGGCGATTTGAGGGCATTCTTGGAGTGGAATTGGAGGATTTCTTCGCCTTGGAAGCTTGAGGAACAAGCCCGGACTTGAAGACTGATCATCTGAAGATTCTTACTGCAGACTCTCTCTTCTCTATGGAGTAACTTCCCTTCCCTTAGGTTTTGAGGAACCCTAGCTATGTTTGTTTGATTGGATGATTGTATGAGTACTCTGACTTGATAATCTTGAGTTCATATTCAACCTATGCATGTTTTCATGATTCAATTCTGCTTTAGTCGAGATTATTGATTCTGCTTTGATCCTATGAGAGGGAATACCTGATTAGGTCAATAGAGCACCATAGATTGATAGTAGTGGATCGATTGCTTTAGTCGAGGGTTGATTCACTGCTTTGTATCGATTGAGAACCTCTTTCGATAGAGGGAATCTAGTTCAGAACGCCTTCATCGGTTGTTCTAGAGAAGGATACGTCCCTCTAGGCAACTGACTCAAGAGGGCCTTGTTCCTTTAGTCGAGACTCAAGGTCTAGTCAAGGATTCTCCTCATTGTGAATGAAAGTGAAACAAGTTAGAAATCATCAATCGGTAGTCTGGCTAGTGGCTAGGGGGAATCATACCTAAGTGAGTTCCCAACCTGTAATTAGATTAACTTTAATTGTAGTTTGCTAGAGTAGTTTTAGTTCTTTCATCTTAATCTGGTTTGCTAAATAATAAACTGAAGCTGAGTAATATTAACTCTAGAGACCCGTGGATTCGATATTTATCACTTGAGCCACTATACTGCAGTCCCTTCCATTGGTTACACTTGGCCATTGTTAGGTGTTGTACCATAGCGAGTCAATCATCATGATGGCGATCATGGTGGTCGTGCTCTATCGTGATCAGCGTTCGTTCCAGATTTTGAATGCGCTCCACTAAGGCTGGATTGACTCCAATTGAAATACCCTGGTTCCTAACTACCTCCGGAATCTCAGCAGGCTCTGTTTCGTTTATCGCCGGAACAGGGGTGTTGACCTTTATGTTTAGTTTGGCCAACTGTCGATTAATTTGGTCGAACTGGTCCTGAAAGGTTGCAACCATTGATTGAAAAATCTCAGCCGCATTGATAGACAATTCGCCAACGGTTTGCTGATCCAATTGACCTCATCGTCAGACTATGACTCTTCTGGTTTCCGTAGGGCAATTGGATCCTTGTTCCTCGTTCTTACAGCGACAGGTAAATTCTTCTTCTTCGTTGTTGCCACTGTGTTGAACTAGGCTCATGATGCCACTTGATGAGCGCTAGATGGATTTCTTTTGATATGAGTGAGCAGCTTGCGCAATTCAATTGGATTGAACCTTGGACAAGAACACACAAAAATAGGGTGATGTTTGGTGTGTTTTGGATGGTCAATTTAGTGCGATCTCGCAGAAGGGCGAAGGCTCGAATTAGATAGGTAGAAGTCATGCCACGAACAAGGTTTCTACTTGTTCGGTAGAAGCGCAGAATCACTCAGAATCAACCAAGCAATTTGATAACTTGATATTTACACACGCTTTTGTCCACCATTCTTGTACTATTTGAGCCTCGTCTCTCGTGTTTTAGGCTGATTTCACGCTACGTTGTTCTTGTTTGTGATATTACAAGTCCTAGTACGTGAATGAAAGTTTAGGAACGAGTTCGGGGTCGATTGGACGAGGTTGGGACACCCGACGAGGAGCTGAGGATTTCACATGGCCTAGAAATAATTTTATGCGGGCGTACGAGTTGGCCGTGAAAAGCCTTCTATGCGGCCAACGCCGTACGGCTCGTGTAAGGCGCCTTTTTGGCCATGCGGGTTTTCTAGAGAGTTCACACGGTATAGACCGGATTTTACACGGCCGTGTGCTCTAGTTGTGTGACACCCCTCGACCAACTAAGTGCAACGTCGCGTTTTGGAGTTCACACGGGCAGAGCTGGGTTTTAACCCGATTTCGATTCTTTGAGAAGTATCCGAGTTTGGGGAGCCGAAATAGAGTTTTAGAGAGAGAAAGTGGCGGACCTACTCTCCAATGTTACCTAGATCGAGATTCAACACCATTGGAGCTTGATTGAAGCATGGAGAAGCACTGATTGATCACCGGATGCTGATTATCATCCTCCGCAAAATGAATTCTGCTTCTAAAGCTGATTTCTCTTCTCTCTCTATGGAGTAACTTCCTCTCTCACGTGGGTATGAAGAACCCTAGATTTGTATGTTAGGTTGATTGTATGAACCCAAGTACTTGATCTTTTGACATTGATTATATTCAATTGAGGCATGATTTCTGAATTGCATGAGTACTGATCAAATTCCTGTAGTGTCTGCTTTGACCTCGAAAGAGAATATACGTGCTAGGTTGATAGAACACCCTTAATTGAAGGTGGTGAATTGACTACTTTGGCCGAGAAGTCAATTCACTACTCAGTATTGGATTCATTCCAGTAGAGGAGGTTTTACACGTTAGGACCTCAGTTTGGTTATTTGTGTGGAGGATAGTCACCCGCGGAGTATTCAGATTGACAGGGTCTGAAGACCTTTAGTCGAGACTTCATACTGATTAAGAATCTTCCTCAGTATAACTGTCATTGAATCTGGACTTGGTGAATTACAATTCAGCTTAATTGCAATCTATGGGGAACCATATCTGCGTGACCTCTATTAAACTTGAACTAAAACTTTTATTGTTTTGTGTTTTGTCAAGATTAGTTATACCCTCGCTACCGTTAAACAACTAGATAACAAGAATTCACGGAGTAGTTATCACATCTAGGACCCGGGTTGACAAATAAAGCTAAACCAGCTATACTATGCATTAGTAGGTGGTTACACTTGGCCACTTTTAGTGTGACGGTACAGGCGAGTCAAGTTTTTTGCGCCGTTGCAGGGGACAACTAGGTTGTTGAAGAAACGTGGTTTCTATTACTTAAGCATTGTTTGGTTTGCTTCTTCCCACTTTTCCCTTCACGGGGTTTGCTTGCTTACTTCTGTGTAGGTAGTGCATGACCCGTAGCCAGTCAGGAGCATTACTATCGTTGGATCCGGATTAGTAGCGACTCCGAGCTGGAGGATGACATGGAAGACGAAAGAAACTGGATGGACAACCTGAATTAGGGACAGCCTCTAGGGATGTCCCTCTAGGTCCTTCCGGTCAATCAAGTCCCACCTAATGGCGACTTTCCACATGAATACGCTGCCAACCGTCAGCCACCTCCACAGGGGCCCACCATGGAGTACTTCTACACTCAACGGATTGCTGACATTCGCCCAGCCATCCAATACCCGCCCATCCCTGCCAACAACTTTGAGATCAAGCCATGCTGGATCCAGTTGATCACATCTTCCATCCATTTTCACGGGTTCAAGGATAAAGAGGCGAGGGTATACCATTCTTGGTTCTTGCAACTGACTAATGGGTTCAAGTTAAACAGTGTCCCAGATGACGCAATTCGTCTTCACCTCTTCCCCCACTCTCTGGCAGGGCATGCAAAGAGGTGGCTAGAGACTTAGCCAACACTGTCCATCACTTCTTGGGACGATTTGGCCAACAAGTTCGTGCACAGGTACTATCTGGCCTCGAAGACCTCGAAAATTCAGCGGGAGATCACTCATTTCCGCCAGGAAGATGACGAGTCAATGCGAGAAGCTTGGGAGCGGTATTGGGGAATGTTCTCGAAGTGTCCCCACCACGGTTTCAGTGATGCATTCATCGTGGGGAACTTCTATAATGCCCTATCCCCGGAGAGTCAGCGGTGATCAAGTCTTTGTGTCCGGGTGGAGGCATTCTCACTAATACTCCACCCGATCTGAATCAGATGATCACTACTTTGGCCGCCAGTGATCATTCTTGAGGGCAGATCACCAGAGGTAGGAGCTCTTGAGACAGAGGTGTACATGCCATGGAGGCCAAATCAGGGCTTGAGCGAGAGGTGGCAGAGCTGGTTCAGATATTGAATCAGCCTAATAGCCTCATACCATGCCGAGGCATGGCCGGGCCTCCTGTAGCCCAATGCAAGTGGTGTGAAAGTTCAAACCATTTGTTGGATGATTTTTAAGCTATGCGGGAGTCCTCCACCCCCCAGGAGCAGTTGGACTTCATTGCCAATACTCGGCGCCTTGACCCCTACACTGGTATCTATAATGACGGGTGGCGCCAGCATCCCAATTTCTCCTGGGGTGGTTACAACAGAAACACCACCAAGCCTCCCGGATTCACGACACAGACTGGTGGCTTTCAGCAGTGGCAGCAGTACCAGACTCGACAGGTTCCATTTTAGTTGCATCAGCTTTTCCAGCCTAGACAGGGGCAACCCTTCTAGAGCAGCAGAGGCAATTCCCACAGCCGATAGCAGCCACAACACAGTGTGACAGATGTTTGAACTAAAATAATATGGTGCCGGATTTCGTGAGCACCAGTACGGAGAAGTTTTCCAGGATGGACCACTTCATGGAATTCTCTATGGGGAAATTCAATGAAGTTGAGGTAGGTCAGAGAAACCAGAGTGCCATTTTGCACGACCTCTAGAACCAAATTGGAGGGATAGCCCAAAACAACAACACTAGAGCACTGGGAACTCTACCTGCCAACACCATCCCAAATACTCATGAGCCTCGCCAGTAGTTGGATGTCATTACTACTAGAAATGGCAAGACGACAATTACTGTTCTTGCTCCGGTCACACATTATGAACCAACACCTACTCTAGCACTTCCAGCTGAAGATGAAGAGGTGGGGATATAGAAGGAAGCACCTGCTACTATGCCACATCCCGTGGTTAAGGAGCATTTCCCCCAGCTTTCATTCTCCACTCATATGCACAAGGATAAGTTGTAGATTGAGTTTGCCAAGTTCATGGCAATGTTGAAGCGGGTCAACATCACCATGTTGTTCGTGGAGGCACTATCGAAGATGCCCAAGTACGCGAAATTCATGAAGGATCTCGTCACCAACAAGAAGAAACTTACGGATCTATCGACAGTGATGCTGAGTGACGAGTGTTCTACAATCCTGCAGGACAAGCTGCCAGAGAAGCGCAAAGATCCAAGGAGTTTTACTATCTCTTTTGTTATTGGCAGCATGCATGTAGGAAAGTACTTAGCGGACCTAGGCGCTAGCATAAATGTCATGCCCTATAAATTATTTAAGAAGCTAGGCCTAGGTGAACCTAGAATTACTAGGATGAGTATTCAGTTAGCTGATCGATTGCTTGTGCATCTTAGGGGCATCATAGATGACTTTCTTGTTAATGTAGGTGCATTCACATATCCTGTTGATTTTGTCATCCTAGACATAAATGCAGATGTGGATGTGCCTTTGATTTTAGGTAGAACATTTCTCGCTACCGCCAAGGCATTGATTGCTGTGCATAGTGAAAATTTAATTTTGAGGGCTAGGGATGAACAAGCTACATTTTTTGTGTCTAACAATGCGAAACATTCCCATATACATGATGACTTGGATTACTGTGACAAATTTGCTGATTTTGAGACTACACTCGCCATCACGGGTGTGGGTATTGCCAAAGTCCTCGAGTGCAGCATTTTACTATGTGAGCAGGCATCTCAGGAGCTGCAGGTGAAGGAGCAGTTGGCAGCGCTAGAGCATGGCAAGTTCGGGGAGGTTGAGAAGCCATTCAAGTCGATCTCATCTTCGACCCGTATCACCACCTCCCTAGAGGAGCCACCAGAACTGGACTGAAACCCCTCCCTCCTCACTTGGAGTATGCATTTCTCCAGGAGGGGAACAAGCTTCCAGCTATCATCAGCTCGGCTCTCACACCCGAGTAGAAGTCCAGACTGGTGGCCCTGCTGAAGTAATATGATCGAGCTATGGCATGGATGATCACCGATATCCGGGGGATCAGCCCTTCCTTCTGTTCCCACCGGATATTTCTGGAGGATGAGATTCGACCGGTGAGACAGCCCCAGAGGAGATTGACACCAAACCTGGAGATGTGGTTCGAACGGAAATTATCAAGTTGATGAGCGCGAGAATCATCTTCGCCATTTCTGACAGCGAGATGACAGTGGTTCCAAATGAGAAGAACGAGCTCATCCTAGTGGTTCCAAATGAGAAGAACGAGCTCATCCCAATGCACATGGTGACAGGGTACCGCGTCTGCATCGACTATCGCTGCCTCAATGAAGCCACCCGGAAGGATCATTTCTCTCTGACATTCATTGATTAGATGCTCGAGAGGTTGGTGGGAAACGAGTTCTAATATTTCCTAGATGGGATGTCTGGGTATTTTCAGATTCTCATAGCACTGGAAGACTAGGCGAAGACCACCTTCACCTACCCTTTCGGCACATTTGCTTACCGGAGGATCCCATTAGGGCTTTGTAACCACCCGATCCTTTTAGACAAACCGACCAAAATAGTGTTCAAAAAACTCAATCAAATAAACAAATACAAATATTTTCCACAAGAAATTCAAATGAAATGCCCTAAACACTTGGGCGACCCAAATCCATAATCAATAAATTCTGAACCTTGAACCTCCAGTATATACTCATAACCCTGAATAAAAAAATAATGGAAATAACTATAGCTCTAACTCCTCGCTGAGCTCCCCTCGACCTTGTCTACTCTGGAGTAGCTTCCTGCCTCGCTTTGGTGAGTGAGATGGGGTCAGTCTCGTCGTTACTTTCTAAGGTATTTGCCTAAGCAAACCTTTATTAATCACCTTATTAGTGGGTTTCCTTTCTTAGATGAAAGTCGTTCTCATTTTCATCCTTAAAAACTTTATTGCAACACAATAAATAGAAGATCTTTACTCCTAACTTAACATATAGAAGTTCTCAACTTCTATCCTTAATACTTTATCCCGACATAACTCATAGAATGTCTTGACTTATACCCTTAACTAAAACCAAGGTTGTCAAACCGGTTTGTGCCGGTGTGCCGGTTTTATAAGTGGAATGGTCTTACTGTGGTACAACCAGTATTCATGCCGGTTGTGCCGGTTTTAATAAAATACACGAGGAAAATGGAAATCTTCAATTCCAAATAAACTAGTCATGAAAAAGCAATTAGAAGAATTATTTCACACAAAATAATTTATAGCTAAGAATTGGTAACTAATACTAAACAATTAGATGCTTAAATATAAAATTTTATTAAATGAATTTTATTAATGTTTATAATGATTTGTGTAAAAGTTAGTATTAGATATATAACATATAAGGTTAATATAGACAACAAAATTACTTGTAGCCTACTAGTGTGTAAGTTAAACTTAAATGAACATGAGGTACTTGGTTCAAATCCTATGGAGGATGTTTATTTTTGGATATAATGTGTGTAACATTAAATTACGGTTTCTGGTCTAACCGGCCGGAATTTTCGGATTTGAACGGTTTTGACCACAATTAAATACCGGCCCGTTTCCAACCGGTTTGCTGACCGGTACCGATTGAACCGGTCGGCATGAAACCGGTTTGACAACCATGAATCAAGCATAAGACACTAGGATCAATGCGTTACGTCTCACCGTCCGGTGTCCCTACTCTAATATGGCAACCGTCGTATGTCTCGCCGTCCGGTTGCATACATAAACTTGGCAATGACACTGCGTTACGTGTTACACCCAATCTTTTTCTAAGCCGAAATGACGATTATGCCCTTGGTCCAAATTTGTCAAATTCCACCATAATGTCGAGGAGGACTAAAAATGTGAACTATCGGTTGAAGCGGTGTCGAATTTCGACATAAAATGAGAAAGTTACGGGTATTAAATGAGAAAGTTACGATTATGCCTTTGGTCCAAATTTGTCAAATTTCACCGTAATGTCGAGGAGGACTAAAAATGTGAACTATCGGTTCAAGCGGTGTCGAATTTCGACATAAAATGAGAAAGTTACGGGTATTAATTGAGTTTTGGATCAAACTCACCCTAAGCATAAAGTTCCGAAAGTACCCCTGGTGCCAATTAAAACCTAACCTAAACCAAAAGAGCCGGAACACGTTTGGGGTTCTTTCTCACGAGAATTCCATATTTCGCCGCGGCAGCACTCTCCCAAAGCGTGAAGAGTTTCATATTTTCGATCGTACTCCGCCGCAGATTTCAATATGAAGGCCATCCTCTCGTCGGAAACGATGGACATCCCAGAAGGCGTCAAGATCAAGGTTCACGCCAAGGTGATTGAGGTACAAGGACCGAGGGGCACGCTCGTCCGCGACTTCAAGCATTTGAATCTGGATTTCCAGTTGATCAAGGACGAAGAGACCGGGAATCGAAAGCTGAAGGTTGATTCTTGGTTCGGAACCAGTAAGATCAGTGCCTCCATCCGTACGGTTCGTGTATGCTCATTTCCCCATCAACGCATCCATCACCAATGCCAACAAAGCCATTGAACTTCCTTGTATATGCATGGGATGGGTAACGTAAATGCAAGTGGTTTACATTTTAATGGGAGGATCCGTCTTTGCTATGGCATGTGAAGTCGGAATTAACAAAAGGAGAAGAAGGTTTGAAGGTCATGGGCCATTAGGTGACTGTTAGATAAAGTAAAGCGGCTAATTATCAGGTGAGTGTAAAGGGGTAAATTCTACGCCTTATGGTATTTCAATTTTTTTGAGATTGACGGTTATGTGCTATACTTGCCTTTATGTGCTTATATGATGTCATATGATTTGTGTGAGTTATGCTTTCAGTTTATGTTGTTTTGTGCTTTACTTACAAGTAAGTTTAAGTTTAAGAAAATGGTTTCTTTTAATAAGTTCTTCACCTTCAAGAAGGTGAAGTCGTTTTAAGTGTTTTTAGTCACTAGCGCTAGTCCGTTGCCATTTGCGATCTTTGAGACAGAGCAGCAGTTATGCTCTTGAGATATTTAAGTTGAGCTGCAGTTATGCTCTTGAGATATTTTAAGATGAGCAGCAGTTATGCTCTTGAGAATCGTGGTGAAGAGCCACAATGATAAGTTTAAGTTTAAGTTTAAGGAAAGCCTGGATGCCTTCTCATACGTATGAGTTGGGCAACCGGACTAGCTAGTGAGGGATCCATGTGTCAGTCAAGTATTTAAGTTGATATTTAAGCTCGACGAATGGAGAGTAAGAGTAACTACCATACAGTTTTACGAGTTAAGAGTTTTAAGAGTGGAAGTACGAACAACCTCCACCAATTTAAGTTTAGTGTCTGAAGCAAAATAATCAAGTACAAGATTTTGAAAATGTAAGGGTGTAGACTGACCCCAATCTCACTCACCATTTTGAAGAGGAAGAGCTAAAGGACAGTTAGAGAGCAGCGAGATCGAGAGAAACAGTTCGAGGGAAGCCAGCTAGAGGAGAACGATACGAGCGTCTTGGAAGATTTCTAGACCGAGTTTCCTACGAGCATCAGTAGTAGTTGAGACTAGTTAGTTATTACGTTGTATAATTAGGAGTATAGGCTGGAGATCAAGTTGAGTTTTTAAAGTTTGAGTTTAATTTGCCCACATGTTAGGGCTTTGCTTTGAACTACAAGTGCGTGTTTTCATTATTTTATTTATGAAATTTTTCCCGCTGCAATTTAAGATTTGAGTATTTTATTTATCAAGGGCATTTTAGTAAAAGTAGTACCCTGCCGGGTTAGGTTGTTACATTACGTCTCGTCGTCCAGTCCATCCCTGGTCACTACTGTGTTACGTCTCGCCGTCTAGTAGTGACCCCAATATACTCGATCAACTGCTGCGTTACGTCTCGCTGTCCAGCAATGATCAGACCATCTACCGCGTCCAGTGGTGGCCCAACCGCCCGGGGGTTCTATCTTATATACAAACATACATGACATACATAGCACAACCCATGCCTCCACCTTAACTAGACACTGGGATGCCTCACACAATTAATCGCACTTACTTGAAAATAATAAACATAATTGAATTAAAAGACAAACTAAAATAGCTCGACGAAGATTTTACCCCTTTACACTCACCTTATTATTGAATTAAGAATCGACTGCCACTTCATTGAATCGTTGCACCACTCTCTCTCCCTCTCTCTTTCATGCCTGATCTCTGGCGGCGAATAAGACACACACCTCTTATATATGTATCCACGTTATTGTGTTTATCAAACCCTTTTGCTCTACCCTATCTAGCTTTGCCCACAACTCCAATGTAACGCTTGTCCTCATCGAACTTTGCTTTGCTTTCTGTCGACCCAAAGACGTCACCATAAAGGCCTAAGTTGGCCCAAGTAATAAGGTTGGTCCAACTTACTTGTTAACGTAATAATAATTATTAATATTATGATTATGATGATTATTATAATTGCTCTTTCTCCACGGTTGCAACCCTTCATAAGTAACGGTTAATCCAACCGTTCACGTATTATAGTCGAACCATAACCCAAAATTATTTCCTCCACCCTTATAAAAATTTCGTCCCCGAAATTTGCTCGTAACTAATCCTTCTATAAGCACCCTTCGTATACTTCCTCCCCACGATCATTTATTCAAACCATAACAACTTCGTTGGTATCCTTTGCTCATATAAGTTTCCTTAGCTTGCAACCCTCGTGTAACCATGAGTGACTCACTACCCTTTTTATGCCCCAACTTGATCAAAATGTGATGAAACAAAATGCCAATTTGGCTTGTCATGTTGATCCAACTCACCTGGTAGTTAATGTTGCACCTAAATCCAGAATTGAGATATCACAGGCTTTGCAACGTCCCCGCCACATTCCAGAGGTGTATGCTCGCCATCTTCGACTGTCTAACCGGAGATATCATGGAGGTGTTCCTGGATGATTTTTTTGTTTATGGAGACTCATTTTGTCACTGTCTCAATAACCTAGAACTCGTCCTGACAAGGTGTGAGGAGACGAACCTGGCGTTGAGTTGGGAGAAGTGCCACTTCATGGTTAACGAAGGCATAGTTTTGGGGCATAAGATCTCCAAGACGGGGATCGAGTTAGACAGAGCCAAGATCGAGATGATCAGTAAGCTGCTCCTCCCACTTTTGTGAAGGGATTTCACAGTTTCCTGGGCCAAGCAGGGTTCTATCTACGATTAATCCCTACCGCTGACAAAGCTCCTTGGGAAGGATGCCCCCTTCGCACGCAGGTGCAACCGATGCCAAAGGTCATGTAACATCTCTGCCCTGATGAGATGCCCCAAAACGTGTTTATTACTTGTAAATCTTTTTATGTCTGGGGTATCAATTTCATGGGCCCATTTCCTCCATCTTTCGGTAATCTGTACATTCTTTTTGCAGTTGATTAAATCTCTAGGTGGGTAGAAGCGCATGCTTTTCCCACCAATGATGCTAGACATGTTTGTCGGTTTTCATAAGCAGTTGTTCTCCCAGTTCGGGATCCTAGCGCCATCATTAGCGATCGAGGCACCCACTTTGAGGACCAATTTGATAAGCTCCTCTCTCGTTATGATGTCACTCACAAGTTGTCCGTAGCCTACCACCCCCAAACGAGTGGTCAGACTGAGCTGACGAATCGGGAGCTTAACCGCATAATTGAGAAAATGGTGGATCACTCTCGCAAGGAATGGTCCACCAAACTCGATGATGCTCTCTGGGCATACCGGACTGCCTGCAAGACACCGATCGTTACTTTTCCGTATCGGCTCGTCTATGGAAAGGCATTGCCACTTGCCTGTTGAGCTAGAGCACAAGGCCTTATGTGCTCTTAAGTTGTTAAACTTGGATGTGAGTCTTGCAGGTGCTGAAAGCAAGATGTTGGAGTTGGAGGAATGTCGTTACCACGCCTATGAGAACACCAAGTTGTACAAGGAAGTATCTTCACGACACTCGATTGAGGGGCCCGAAGGAGTTCCAGATGCTGATCGAGTTCTTCTGTACAACTCTCGCCTGAAACTCTTTCCGGGCAAAATTTTGGCGATCCGTTGCTTCCCGTGCCTTCCCCTCACCTTCCCTTACATGTCTACTTGAGTCTCCAGGTTTGATTTTTCCTTTTACCTTGTGAATTTTGGAGAATTGCGTGCTGGGGAGTTTAGGTCGTGAATCGAATGTAATACATGCTTTGGTTGAAATTGGTCGAGGGGAAGGATAGGATTGAGTACTAGGAAGGTTGTGGATTGTGAATCTTGCATGATTGGACCCTTGTGTGGTGGCTTTGGGCGTTTTCATGTCTATCTTTTTCATGCCCACAAGGTGTTCGTTGAAATGCATTTTTACATGCCCTTTTGTGGATGCTATTTGGTGGCCTTAATGCCATGCTATGATTGGGTGCTTGGTATGATTGCGAAGCTCGTGTTACTTATTTTCATGTTTGGCGATACCCCCCTCTTGAATGTGCTTCGTTGTTTGAGTTTTTCCCTTGTGAATTATGGCTAGCAGCATGATTTTGTTTTGGATAAATTCAAGTATGGGGGTGTGCTAACCTTCATTTGGCTGTTTGTTTTGGCACCACGATGGTTTGTTTTGTTGCAGGATCATGTCAAAGCCCAAATTGAAGTATCATTTCATTCAGGATTTGAAGTCGGGTCCTCAGAGAGCTCAGTTTAAGCGCGTCCTAAAGGTGCAGTTTGGTAAGCACCATTGCTGGAGCAAGCGTGCACTCCAGATCATCAATTGCTATGACGCCCTCACGCTGTGGTTTCGTAACCGGATGTGGCGCCGCCTGCTGGCCCTGCATGAGTGGGTCTACTTTGAGCTGGTGATCGAGTTCTACTCCACTTTTCACCACACCGAGACCGCTGACTGGAAGGAGAGTGAGGCCATCAAGTTCAGGTTGGGCGGCGAGTACCACTCCATGAGCTACCATGATTTGGCTGCTAATTTCGACCTCGTACCTGACCTCACTAATGACTTCGTCGTCGAGGTAGCCAACCCGGCCAGTGTCTCCTTCCCGGTCGTGTACCGTCAGCTAGCCCAGCCTCCTCACGACACCGCCGATGATGGTTTCACTTCCAGGCGGACAAATGCCAGCATGTTGCAGGCCAATTATCGTCTTCTGCACCACCTTCTCACGAAGTCCTACGCCCTTAGGAGCGAGAGTGCCAGCATTCTGACCAAGCGTCCCTCTACCTTATCAAGTTGATCCACACTGCCCACGACGCGCTGCATTTGGGGTCTGTTTTGGCGAAGACTTTCGCCAAGAGTGCTTAGACTCTATGGACCCTCCACTGCACCCCACTTATCACCACGCTTGCCATCCATCTTCACATCGACTACAAGGACTGTACGAACCAGGGCAGGACTTGGTTTTCGAGGAGGACACCATCTCCAAGATGTGGTTACTTCGCGAGTCCCGTGAGGTCAAGTTGGTCGAGGGACTACCACCTCCAGCCATCTCGAATCTAGCTGAGACGGAGGCTCAGGATGTTGAGTCCGCGGATGTGGATGCTCCTGTGGGCCACCAGCCCTCATTCTCTCGCAGCACTTGGGAGCATGGCG